CAATGGGGTTACGTGACCGGTAATTTGTACGTAAGAGCCCTCATCTGGTCATTCACATGGGTACCAACTTCGGATCGTCCAATACTCGTCGTGGCTAGACGATCCAATGCCCAACGCTCGCGTGCACACATCAGAATGTGCGGGACATGCAGGGGATACGAGTGAGCCTCTCCTTCGTACGGCATGGCAGTGTAATATTGCGCCGCAAAGCTCACATGTCAGTTGCTGTCAGCACCGCGCACATGTTGCCTGCATTGCGACCACGTTTATGACTGCGCAAAACTGTCGCGAACGTGTGGATACGGAAAACCCAGCGGTCACGGCGACGATGCTTGTTTCCCCAGATCTTCCGGGTTCTCCGCTTCATAGCTCCAGGATTGCGCAAAAGCAGCTGAACGGCGCGCGGTCAAGCACATGCTGCCGAGGAAGTTGAATGGAGAGCCAGACCGAATCGTCAGATCCTTCCAGAGGAGGAAAGCCACCTCCGCACGAAATGACGCAGGAACGGTTAAACCCTTGCACTTCAACAACAGGGTCGTATTGGCGGCACACCCACCACAAAGTAACTCAAGAGAAAGTGTCCTGTGCCTAGAAGTAGGTATTTCGTGTTTTCAGAATAGGAGTACACAAGCATATTTCTGACAACTGCCTAGACACACGAATGCAGGTACAACAAGGCCGCCAGTCTTACGCCATGCCACCGTCTTTTTGCCGGGAATTTCGCAGACAGCGGTGGACGTTCGGATGGCGCATCCGTTCGGCGGGTTAGCCATGTTCCTGCGCGACCGAGCTTAGCCAAAGGGTGTAAGCATGGATTATCCCGGATGTTTGGCCGAGAATGGTCGAGATGTCGCGGGGTTTGTAACACTGGATCCTGCGCCATATATCGATTCTTGTGTCGCATTTGCGCTTGCCGCCATCCAATGGCCACCCAGCCGGACTGGAGGAGAAAACTTTGACGATTGAGGATCTGCGCAAAGCGACGATGCACATAGTGGTTGGTTTTGCCTCGTTGCGTGGCTTCACAGCCTCAGGGCTGCCCCGGATCTTCTCGCTTCGCACTAGTCCCGGAAGCGATTAGATGGGAACGGCCGCACCGTCACTGGCCTCATGAGACCCAATCAGCAAAAGCTTCTAGTCTCTGCGGCATGGTTCTTGGCGCCTTGATCAATTCGATCCCTGTTCTATGCTGGAGCTCGCCGTCGCCCAACACCAATGCTCACCAATGATGTCCAATCGACGATCGGGTGGCTTCTTACTCGGTTCAATAACACTACACGCTCCTCGCAATTTCTACATGACACTCCAGAAGATGTAGAGAAAGTTACGCGGTACCATCTCCTTTCTTTCAATCTTCATGATTCACGACCATTCGCTGGCAAGGCGCGCCGCGCCTAGTTGTGTGGCAATAGACTCTGCCCTCACAAGTCCGGCCTCGACGAGCCGCAGCTAGCGATGCGTAGTCTGGGGTAGTGTCATCACGCGCTACCACATCGAGCAATACCTCCAGGGGCTGCTTGAAGATCTCGAACGGGGGCGAACAACACGCCCAGTGTGGAGCCACTTGGGTGCTAGCTTGTTTCTCACCTGGACACGGGTGGCCTACGGTTCCGCTTGATATAAAGAGCTTATGGGAGCCTCCTGTTCGAGTTTCTGCAAGCTTCAACTGTCGTTATACATACATCAAAGAACTTTCACTACACCGATCACCGTATCAACACCAAGACAACCGTCAAAATGAAGACCTTCACCATCGCTGCCTTCGCCGCTCTGGCCTCCGTTGGCTCTGCCCAGCTCAGCAACATCCCCTCTTGCGCCGTATGTTCTTACCACCACCTTTATAACTACAAGTAAACTAACATTATTCAGCTTCAATGCTTCCTCGCTCCCCTCCAGAGCGACGGCTGCTCCTCCCTCACCGACTTCGAGTGCCACTGCAAGAAGGGTGCTGAGCTCCTCGGCAAGGTCCAGCCTTGCGTCCAGGGTGCCTGTGAGCAGGACGACCAGGCCAAGGCCATCTCCGCCGTCCAGGACACCTGCAAGGCTGCTGGTGTTCCCATCAACATCCCCGGTGCCGGCGCTGCTTCCTCCGCGGCTGGCTCTGCTGTCGCCAGCGCCACATCCGCCGCCGCCTCTATGGCATCTTCTGCCGCCGCCTCCGCCTCCTCCATGGCTTCCTCTGTCATGTCTGAGGCCTCTTCCGCTGTCGAGTCTGCCGCTTCCTCCATGGCCTCCGAGATGTCCTCCGCCATGATGACCGGTACCCCTACTGCCAGCGAGAGCATGATGAGCATGACCCCCTCTGCTTCCATGTCTGAGTTCACCGGTGCCGCTGCCCAGGCTACCCAGGCTGTCGGTATCCTCGGTGCCGCCGCCCTTGCCATGCTCGCTTTGTAGATACCCTCAAGCCCTTGGTGGCAAGCATGAACGGATTGACTGGTTAGTCATGGTCAGGATGTAATGGAATCACGTTGGGATGGATGGATCGAATCTTGTATTACCACCTAAAACCGATAATGCGATACCTAATATTTCGAACCCGAAACCTTTATCTCATCTCATTTTCTTGTGTCGCCTCCAAACTTCAGGCATGTTCCACTTCGAATTCGCGCTTTTCCGCTCTATACTTTCTGTGAACGCGTCAGAACTATTTTTCCGGTGGCTCTTTGCATTCGGTGAAACTGAAGCTGAGAAGTAGCGCAGTGACGTCAGAGTAAGCACTATCGTGTCGCAAAATGAAAACACAAGGGTTACCATGCCTTCGTTCGGATTGAAGCTACCCGCGGCTGGTCAATGTATACAGACTCTGCGTGTGTGTAATGCATTGTTTTATGCAAATTGTTGAGATGCCCTCTTGCAGAAACACCGCAGTGGAAGCGACAGAGGCGCTGTTCTGTTGCAATCGTCTTGGGTAATTACCGTAGACGGCCCTTACTCTTAGCTCGGCTCTTGCAGACGTTATTGTGTCGTCTGCCTGATTCAATTGAACACCTGGGCACGCTTAGTATATTTTGATATGCATTACAGTTGATCTCATATACGTCGAGAGGGCTTATAGACTCGACGGACGCTGCGAAAAATCCGGTATCCGCCCAGTTGTTGGGAAATATAATTATTGCTTGATGAGGTTGCTCTTAAGCTCTTCCCATTGCAACTCTGTGACAGATTTCTAGCCACTTGCTTTGATCGTGCAAGGTAAACTACTGAAAGAGAACAGGGCCCTCAATATTCAAGCGACTATTCGACGATACCCAGCTGCGTCGTCTCGCACGCCACCAACTACTCAGCTTGAGTGACAGTGCCATCAGTTGCGCAATGCAGGACCGCACAACTTTGGTCCAAGACCAGCGCTTACTCGATCGAGAAATACATGATCTCGAAAAAGGGAAACTACCCCAGCGGAAGTCTAGATCGCGTGCATGCTGCAGGCGCGACGTTAGTAAGCGTTGTAAAGGTGACTACTCGCTGCAGCAGACAAGGCAACCACACATAATCAATTCGTGACGTCAATTCCTGCGTCCGTAGATAGCTAAAAGGGCGCTGTCGTACTTTGAGACGTAAAAGAGGGGTCGTCATAACCTAGAGAGCGGACGAGCGTACCTGCAACATCGCCAACTTCAACATTCGTAACCCTTCCCAGACAATCACCATGGCTTCAGAACCCGAACCATACACAATATCAGTGCCCGACTCCGCAATCGAAAAGCTCAAACGCAAGCTCTCAGATGCCGACTTCCCAGATGAACTCGACACACCCGATCAATGGCCCTACGGCTCACCCCTCTCTGACATCAAGCGTCTAGCAAAACACTGGGAAACAAACTTCTCATGGCGAGACGCCGAATCCAAGATGAACAAGCTACCCAACTATCGCAAAAAAGTCCAAGTCGACGGTTTCGGCCAAATCGACATACACTTCGTCCACAAAAGAAGTTCAAACCCCAACGCCATACCCCTCCTCTTCAGCCACGGCTGGCCAGGCTCCTTCCTCGAAGTCACAAAACTGCTTCCGCTCCTCGAAGCCGGCGAGAAAGAAGGGAAACCCGCATTCCACGTCGTTGCGCCATCTCTGCCGAACTTTGGGTTTAGTCAGAGGATTAGCAAGCCTGGCTTTGCGTTGTCGCAATACGCGGAGACGTGCCATCGGTTGATGCAGGACCTTGGATACGATAAATACGTTACGCAGGGCGGTGATTGGGGGTTTTGGATCACGAGATCGATGGGGTTGCTGTATCCCGACTATGTGCTCGCGAGCCACATCAATATGGTGCGCGCGCAAGCACCGACGTTCACATCGCAGCCTGCACTTGCTCTACAGCACGCTGTTACTCCTTACACAGAAGCCGAGAGCAAAGGAATCGAGCGCTCAGAATGGTTTCTCAACGAGGGCCAGGCGTATCGCCAGCTGCAATCTACGAAACCACAAACACTCTCCTACGCATTCGCTGATAGCCCCGTAGCTCTACTGGCATGGATCTACGAGAAGCTGATCGACTGGACCGACGGCTATCCCTGGACTGACGATGAGGTACTTACTTGGGTTAGTGTATACTGGTTCAGCACTGCAGGGCCCAATGCGCATGTTAGGATCTACTACGAAGCGCAACATAATCCTACGGATCTAATTCCGAATCGAGAGCGGACGACGACGTGGATCGATCGGGTGAAGTTGGGCGTTGCGCACTTTCCCAAGGAGATTACTGTTGTGCCAAGGGTGTGGGCGAAGACTTTGGGTGAGTTATTCTCGTGGTGATGAGGTTGTGGCCTACACTGACTCATCTGCCACTAGGTCCTCTCGTTCATGAGAGTGTTCACGACAAGGGTGGGCATTTTGCTGCGCATGAGAGACCGGATGTGATCGTTGCGGACCTGCAGAAGATGTTTGGAAAGGGCGGACCGTGCTACGGCATAGTTCCAGGGAAGTCGGGTTATTGATGTATGATGGTGAACGGAAACAACGTTGATGCAAATTTATGGTAACGAGAACTATTTGTTTAATGTCATTGCTTGACAGGTGCCGGCCTTATCAGCTCAGTGGTCGAGTCTCGAGCGCCTTCACACGAGAAGTCGAACGCGGCCAGATTCGCGTCTGTTGGCTTTTCAGCCGTAAATTGCGTGTTTGTTTTCCCATCGTCGCGACTTTTTGATGGTGAGAGAGTTCGTCCCGGGATCAGGTCGAGCTCCTCTTTGGATACCAATGTCGATCGCGACAAGTCCTTCTCTGCCGCTGATGCCGAAGAGCTGAACGTAAGCCAGTGGATTATGAGCGCGTCCCAGCATACGTCCACCAAACAGATCGTGAGGCATATCATGCCCAGCTCTTCACCCCTGGTAAGGAAGAATTGTACCATATTCGCCGCCGTCGGTATCTCTATCAAGAGCGATCCAATGATACTCTTCCACAGCAATGTCTTGATATTCTTCCTAGCTGGCGTATCCTGTCCTCCATGCACTGCATCCTCAATCTGATCTGACTTCCTCTTGAACATCCTGGAAAGAGTTGATGCGCAGGGTAACCCTACGACCGGATAGAGTAGGTAAAAGAAAACCACAGTCAGAATGATGTTCGTAAAGAAGTTGACCACGGTAAATGGTATCGATGCGATGCCGCGAATGCCAAAGTGGCAGCGTCCGTCCGATTCGTGCAACTCGGTGACATGGTTGAGATAGGCGTTGATGGCGACGGTACTGTACAATACGACAATCATAGCCATGCAGCATAGGTATATCTTGTCTTTTCGCCTATTGACGAAAGGCGCGCGGACGACATGGATACGTTCGACCAAGAAAATATAGCTGCCATGTATTAGTAAATGGCCGGGTTTCGCTGATACGCACTTACATGATAGCTTTGATGAACGTGTAGAAGATCAAGCACACCCATGTTCCCGCAACACAGAGTTCGTAGGTATACAGTCCCTGACCTGCCACAAGAACGGCTGAACAGATGATGAACATCAAGACCAGTACGTATAGCATGAAGACAAGCGCAGACATGAGGCGGTGCTTTCTCAAAATGCGGCGTTTGAGTTTCTCGAACCGCGAACCTATGGTCTGTGTCAGAAAGTGTGAACGCACGACTGGTCCAAACTTGATGGCGTGATGCATGTTGCAAAAGCCATCGTCTGGCCTTGAGATCGACTGGGTACGGAAGAAAAACTTACCCAGTAATAGCGAACACACCATCATGCACAACAGTGATATGATCGTGAAGATCGACCTATCCCGTGGAAGTTCGCCATTGTCGATGAAAACGTTCGAGTTCCGAAAATCCTCTTGCCGCACCTGTAAGGGGAGGGCTTGAGCAGCGAACGTCTGCATCAAGAAAAGACAGGCGAACAGCCTCATTCTTGACAGAAGTTCGGAACCGATATCGAAACGAGTCGTACGCGTTCGCAGAAAGAAAGACGTGATCAATAATCATTCGATTGGGGATCCTTGAGTCCTTAACTGGACCCTTTTCGCAACCTGACATCTGTCTTGGTCCCACAAAATGACGCTCCATTATTTTCTTCTTGCGTAAATTATATGGTCAAGCCTATGATCGACCGGGAGTTACTAGGGACTGTGGCGCTGAGGGCGATCGTTTTGCTTGACTTCCAATGTTGCGTGAGGCTGATTGGGTTTACGCTAGTCATGCGGAGATGGGGCCGGCTGGCCGATGTGGCCTCGAACGCGAGATTCCCGGTAGATAATCCACGTGCGTGCCGCTGCTCCCGTTCCTAGCAGCTGTTGGATGCGGTTTTGCTCAAATATCTCCGTCAGGGACAGGGTCGGTATTAGAGGCCGGTGTGTATTTTGCTTTTTCTACCTGACAGGTGTCATGGCTCGCTGATTCTTACCAGATGTCGCGTTGTCTCAACCAGCTATACTTCACCCATTCGTACCACGTTATCAAACGGAAAATCCTGTTGACTTCCCCTGGCGAGGATCCTAGTCCAATGTCTGACTGGATCTCGTTCTCTTGGAGCCAATATTGCCGTATCGGGTTTGCGACAATCCGCCGAACGCCATTGCGCCATTCTCTTGCTCTGCTGAAAGATCCTGATCCTGATGTCCGAGGGTGAGTTTTGCCGATGTTGCAACGGCCTGTTCTTCGCTCACGGGCATCATCTCGTTCCATTCCAAGAACAACCATAGCCAGGATAGAGCAAATTCGATGTTCCCTGAGCCAGGTACATATGTGCTCAGCAGGACCTTGCACGTCTCCTGTCTTCTCCAAAGAGACAGTTGGCGAAGCTGAAGAGTACACAGCCCTCAGATCTGGCAGGGGTCGCAGGGATGCTGAATCATAGTAGTCTGAACGAGTGGCTCCGAGGAACGAGCTGAGCAGATTGACTTCGGAAACTCACGAACAACTGTGGGGACTCTCGTAAACTTTGCGTACACTTTTCGCACGCTCGTACCCCACGTCGTGGGGTGTAAGAAGCATTGCGAATCCTCGGCCATACGAGCATGTGATTGATACAAGGTCGTTTCGGTCGATGATCGCTAGTATATGCGCGCTGCGAGAGCATCCTGAAACCCCTGCTGGTATCCACGGGGAATTTCTCGTCACAGCCCATGTTGCTGATCACACTTCTATCCAGATGTAGCATTCGATCCCCTAACGGCCAGAGGATGTTGGAAAGATGCGCGCGATCTTCTGATCCGGCGTGGAGAAGGAGCTGCGGCAGGTCAGTAAGCCCTTGAAGTGGCGTGTGGTAACTGACTTGTTCGCCCAGTGCGCGTTCAACCAGCTCCTCCCGCGAAAGCTCAATGAAGACATCGTGAAACCGGCCTTCTCCGACTGCAACTATTGGTGATCTATTGACTTTCGCTTGGTCACATACCAAAGTAGGAACACAGCCGCATTGCAACCTTGGAAGTGAAGGTTGCCAAATGTGATGTGCGTGTGCGATGGGCGTCGCGGCGGATGTCGCGCATACGCGCACGGCGCGTCGCACTAGAGCGGATTCGGACTTGCCGGATCGCTGATCTCCGAAAGCATCTTCGTAGCCATCCACTCACGACTCTACAACTGCTCCTCAACCAATAATGAGTGGCGATACAAGATTGAAAAAGAAGCGGAGAGGCGGCCCGCGCAGTAGAACAGGTATGTGCCGTGATCTATGAAACTCTGCTGCGATGCTGAGATAAGCTAATGCCATCAAGGTTGGTACGTTGGCTGCTATCCTCATCGCGAAAACCTGTACTTCTGGCTGACTGAGTCGCTCCAGCGCCACTTGCAAACGCCGTCACACTCGCTGCGATGAGAAAAGGCCAGTATGCGGGAATTGTGAGCGCCTTAACCTCGACTGCGAGCTATCCGAGGAGATCGTATGGGCTACCCCTCGTGTCGATACGACACCGGACGAACCAAACAATGATGCGCCGCTTCTCGTTGACGTGTTTAGGACGCGGATGAATGATCTTGACCTTCCTGAAAATACTTTGTCAAGTCAGAACTACATACCTGCTAATGGTGTCACGACAACAGGTTCCGATGAAGCGAACGGTCAGAAGAAGGTACGCTTGACACCAGAAAGCGCCTTCCTACTCCAGACCTATGTACGCACCGTCGCAACATGGATGGATATTTTTGATCATACCAGCACCTTTCAGCACAAAATTCCACAGTTGGTCCTCAGATCGCCGCTTCTGTTTCACTGTGTATGCGCCTTTACCGCCAACTATCTAGCCCTTTCCAATTCGAGCCATGATCCTTCTTGGCAAGTCACAGCTTCCAAGCATTATGGCGAATCGTTGCGCCTACTCATAGAAGCTTTGAGCATGCCTTCGCACGAACATGCGCTTACCGCAAGTATGCTGCTCTTGAGCTACGAAATCCACGGAGCTTTGCGCTCTGAAGACTATCGGCGACACTTCCTAGGCCTTACAGTACTTATCAAGTCACGACATGTTACAGCACAGTCAAGCGGCACTGATCTGGCCAATTTCTGGATATATATCCGACACGAGATCGTTGTGGCCATGGCGAGCGAGCAGCCTCTGATACTAGACCCTGCAGAATGGGAGGTATCTTGGGTGGAGGGTGAGACTAGAGAAGATGTTTTAGGAAACCACGTTCTTTGGATATTAGCGCGAGTTCTCAATCTCATTTTTGGACCAGATGGACGGACTGAAGCAGGTAAAGAGCAGCGCCAAAGCTTCCTGCACGAGATCGAGATGTGGCGCAGGGGGCTTTCTGACACATTTGTTGGTATCTCATATGGGGACAAAGACGAAGATGGATTCTGCAAAGTGTACTTCCCAGTGGCTGCCGCAGCCGCCACAGCGTTTTGTACGTTTATAGATGCACGTAGCGCTCAACATGATCTGACGGGTCCAGGGTATCACATAACGCATATTCTGCTCTATGCAGAGCCAGAGCTTCAAGACGAGGCCTACATTCCTCTGATTCAGGAGCAGGCTATGAGGATTACCGACATAGCAATATCAGATTTCCCCCCATCGCTGATGGTATTCTCTACGCATGGTCTTTTCTACGGTACGTATCATCCCTCCGGTTGAACGTGGTCAGATGGTTTCACGATCACAGCGGAACAGTCACTGATGCGTTCTAGCCGCGAAACATATCCATGGGATCTCAAGAAAGGCGCGTATCTGGAACGTCTTGAACGAGGTTGAGCGGCAAACTGGGTACAACACGAGTACGACCGTGAGACTTCTCCAAACTTTGGTGGAGGAAGGTGCGCAAAGCCATAGCGCAAGTATCTTATGAGCGACTCCTATTGCTTCGAAAGGAAAAACATGATAATTTACCAGCCTCTGCCTACCAAGAACCTGGAGAATGTCCGGCATCGGACCGAGCCGCCTCGTTGGTCAGCTGCGGGTTGAAGCGAAGCCAACGACTGATCAAGCATTGACTGCGAGGCTTCTGGGGTGATGATGGGGTCGGAAGTTTTCATCCTATCGCGCTGTCTAGGTGTAGCGACTTCGGTCACACTCCAGGATAGTGGCGCTTAGAGCACACCTCTTACTGGCAAACATTGTCGTTACCCACCCCACGTACATCCTCAGGCCCAACTCGGATGCTGGAAACAATTCAAAGACATCTCCTAAGACATGGTCAACCGCGATCTCAAATTCCCTTATCTATCAGGTTTCGTTCCAAGACAGAGCTGTAACAAGGTGTGGCATGCGCAGCCGGGTTCTGGCGCACGTCGCGAGGCTGCGCCGCCTGCACAGCCCGCGAACAGTCGGGTAGGCAACAGCAACACAACCAGTCGAAGATGCTCCCTGTTCTAACAAGCGACTGGGCAGCGCAAATCGATACCCTTTTCGAAACATTTGTGAGCGTATCGCATGAATTTGTTCAGCTTCTGGATATCGCCAACGCCACAACTTCGTTTATGCGCGGGTAGTCTCAGCCATGCACGACAGATTGTTTCGCGCAGCCTCCACGAGAGCGCTGAAGGGACTCTTGGTTATATTCGCCACTCCAACCGGTTTCTGAAATGCCATGTTCGTCAATCTATCTCACACCATTATGGCACCCCCACTCAACTCTCAAGACGATCGTGCAGCGTTCGTTGATGCTTGCATCAACAAGCGTAAGAAAGCGATGCATGCTTGGGAGTCACTTGGCTTGATCAGTGAGAAGTTACATGATGAGCAACACGGCTACTTCGTCAACAAGGAAAAGGCCGACAAGGCTAACGAACTGCAAAGAGTGGTTGAGGGAATAGCAAAGTCATTCGCTACGTCGTATCGTGGCACCATTGAAGAGCTCCATACCGATCTCGCTGAAGAGCACGCGTTCTCGGAAGACGTTTTCCGGCTCGGAGAAGAATTCGGAGTAAAGATATGGGGCCGTATAGAAGACGGCGAAATACGCTCGTCAGGCGAGTCCCAAGGAAACGGCATCGAGGAGCAGGATTGGGACGACCCAAAAGACCGCCAGAAGTGAGCACTCGATGCGTTACCGGAATAACACTTATTGACCACCTTCAGCATTCTATTTTACATCCGATGCTGGATCATATGCACCGTGATCAGAGAGTACAGGGCGACTCCACGAAAAGGCAAAGCGAAAGCTCGGACCCGGGACTTGAGCCCATCCCAAGATCAACAGGATGAAGACATTGTCCAAGATCTCATGGAGACTTACGACCCTAGTACCGAAGGTGGATTGTTTCGAGCGCCAGAGCCACCACGTATGTATCCGACACCTGAACCGCGTAGAGATACGACAGCCACCAGTGCCAACGAGAAGATTACAAGCACCAGTTTCACATCCATAAATAAGACTACAACACCAAATAAGAGGAAAGCGCAATATTCCCACGAACGAACACCTTCTGGGAAGCTTCCGAAGCCTTCAAAGGGCGCTCGAACAATCCCAGTTCTCACTCATCAACAACGAGATCCCTACTCAATCCCTATGTCCCCACCCGCATTCCCAAATCTAGGCCGCTCGTCATTCGAAAGACGAAGAGAGACCACGTACGATTCAGATGCGACTTGGGTGCCGCCTCGTGAAGAGACTGCAGACGCGGAAACGGTGGTCGATGCGGAGGAGATCAACCCAGGAGAAGTCGGTAAGCTCATTACTCCGGAAGCCACACTGAACGTTCAAGCTGACCCTCAATAGACTCGCGCATCCAGAATGATATCGCCACATCCAATGCGGACGACATGCAATACGAGTACGACAACGAGAACGCCGCTGGTCCATCGGGCACCTACCGAAACCCGCTCAGACAAGACTCCGTCATACCAGACACACAAACGCAAATCGATGTAGTAGACGCTATCATCTACCCGCCAAGTGGCCAGCTCAATCAGGACGAAGCGCGCACTCCAAGCGATGCGTACACCGACGCCATAATCCGCTCCCTCATTTCCGATCGCTCCCCCGAAACGCTTCAGACGCGCACCTACCGCCTGGAACTCTACAGACTGCTCATAGCGTATCTAAACGGCATCAAGAATTTCGACTCCTCCAACTACGATTCTGCCGCAGAGGAACGCATGGATCTCCTCCTCAGTCAATTTCACTGTATGGACTCTGATGTCTTCCACTCTTTTCGTCGTAACAACGGTGCAGTTCACCTGCATTACGTATTCGAGAAATGGATGAGTATGCGTCATCGTCTCGATGCTTTCCGTAGTGCGACAGGGTATCTTGGCCCACCCGGGAGGGAATGGGAGGAATTTTTGAGGGGATTAGATGATGTGCCGCATGCGGAGGCCATTCTAGCTTTTGTGGATCTGAAGGATGCTGGGGATGGGGAAGAGGGAGAAATGGCGCTTGGTGATGGGTTTGATGAGGATCTCATGAAGATGTTTGATAGGCTGACAAGATTCCCGGATTGTAATGGGCCGGAGGCTTTCAAGGGTGTGAAGAAATTTAATGAGAGGTTGCTGGTGTGGTTTAGGAATGAGTGAATAGGTGAAGGTAGACACATTCGCCCTTCGCGATCAAACACTCCATGATTGCGACCATTCCTTCCTGCTTCCAGCCAGCCAGTATCCGCCAGACTTGTCACGACACGCAGCAACTATCCATCTCGAGATCCAGCGCTGGCTTCTGCTCCACAACCGGCGCCACACCCCAATTAAGCTCTTTCAAGAACACAGTAAGCCGTTCCCTCAACTCAACCTCCTCTTTCTCCCTAGCCCAAACAAGATACAACCCCCACCTGAACTTCCCAGCCGTCCTCTCCAACGGTTTCAACATCCACTCCTTCAGCTCCCAACCCACGGCAAGCGGCATGTCGTTGTATACACGTAGCGTGATGAATTCCAACATCTTCGCCTCTCTCAGGAGCAAGTCGACTAGATCCGCAAGCCACCCGTTCATGCTATATGGCAGTGTGTGCTTATCAGTCACATCCCCATCTTTTTCGGCATTCCAGAATACGCATATGCAAATTTTGCGTGCGTTCTGAATGGCGCGGAGGGCGATTGGTTCGATTGGGCTATCGAAAATGGACGAGCTGGTAAGTGGGTAAAAGCCCAAGGTGGCTTTTGAATAGAAGTAGGCGCGGATCTCGTCGCAGAGGAAACGACATGTTATAGATAGCTCGGTTGGTGCCATTTGGTCGATGTAGGTGATTAGTCGCTCTTGTGCGTGCGCAGTCCGATTCTGCTTGGATTCCTGCCGGCAGAGATGGTCGTAGATCTCGTAGCGCAGTTCTTTGGGGAGACGGAGGAGAGGGCTGGAGGGAGTCGATGAGGACATGGTGGGTGGTGGAAGTGTAGGCGGCAGATGATGTGGATTGGGTTGAGGGTATGAAGGTCTGTTTAGACAATTGGATGGAAATGGTAAGAAGGAGGCAGGTTTATGACAGTTAGGTACTTTCAAAAGACGACATGTGGGTTGGCGTTGTGGCACGCCTCGCGATGCATGATGACGTACTACCTGGTGTGCTTTGGGTGATCTGGTCATGGACGAAGAGGTCGGGTTTGCAATATCCCGGAGCCTGACCTTTCCAAGCAGTGCAACCACCAGTAAACTATTGCATGCGTCATTGTCACTAGCAGGCCAAAAGGGACTCAAAGAGCACAACATTGAGACAAAAGCATTGAACTGTTACATTTTCCGTAATCACTCCAACGCCATGCGAATGCAACATCATATCGAAGACGGCAAATAATACTGTAATCTAGCTCCACAGCCTCAACGTGCCATCCGCACCAGCCGACACACACCACGGCTCCCTCGGATGCCAATCCAGACCCATAACACCCAACCTGCTCTTAATCTTGTGTCCGCGCAGTACCTTCAAAGGAACAATAGTAGCGTTCTCCATGAGGTCTCCCACGACCTTTCCGTGGAAGATCTGGATGGTGCCGTCGTCGGAGGTATCGGCGAAGAGGGGGAGACCGCCTTGGTGGAAGCGCACTGAACGGATGGCTTCCTTGTGGAAACGGAGGGTCTTGTAGGGTTTGTTGGAGAGGTCGAGGTCGTGCCAGAGGAGGCGCTGGATGGGAAGTTAGTGAATGTCTTAGTAGTGTTATTAAATATGGAGAACTTACCTTGTCGTACGTTCCGACAATGATGTTGTCACCACCGGGGTGCACGTCGATGGATGAAATCCATTTGGCACCTGGTTGCAGGATCTTGACGAGTTCCTGCTTGGCGAGATCGTAGCTGCGGATTGTGTTGCGGGTGGCGACGAAGAATATGGCTTTGGAGGGGTGGAATTGGGCGGTTTGCGCGATACCCTTGAGGCGGCGGAAAGGCAGTTGGGTGAGGTGTTTCGAGACGGTGTGGATGGCTACTGCTGTGCTTTGACCCCGGGGCGATACAGTGGCGAAGTAGTCTCCTCTCCGGTGCCAGTTCACTATCTTGACTGATGCTCGGACTTCGATTTGGACGAGAACGCCCTTGTTCTCCAAACGGGCTCCTGGACGACTCCACTTGCCTGGTGCTGCTTTAGGTGCCTCGCCAAATGTTGTTGTGGTGGGCTTCGAGGCTGCGTAACCCCAACCGGCGTCGAGAACCTCGCGACTGGCTTGCTCAACATCCGGCGAAAGAAGTGTGAAGGGTACGATTAGGTAGACGTTCTCGCCGCAAGCAGCAGCTACTACGGATGTCTCCTTGGTGGGTCTCCATTGTACTGCATCCACAGCCTCCTCATCTGATAGCTTTGCGTTCCAGACCTGGCGACCTGTCAACAGCTCCCAGACCCTTACGTAGCCGTCGTCACCTCCACTGGCAACAAAGATGCCATTAGGATCGACCGAAACACATCGAACACGTCCTTCTTGTCCGCGGTATATCGCTGCGCATGTAGTCGGGAAAGGCTTGAGCTCTTCAGGGTTCGGCAGCTTAGGTAGCAGTGATTCAGGGTCGATGTTGAGTCGGTTTCTCCGGATACGGGGAGCCAAGTAGAGATCCAAGCTTCGCTCAAATCGTTCCTTGACGAATGTCTCGTAACCAGGAACCTTGCGCAGCGCATCGTAGTTCTTGGGCAGGAAGTCCGTCTCCCGCTCCTCATCGTCTTGCTCCAACCACTTCTGCTCCTCAACCTTATCTGGCAAGTACTCGGGCGGTGGGTGGTAGCTCGCTTCGTAGCCAGGCGGTGGCAGCTTGGGTGCTGGGATGTGCATTGTGTTGTCGGGGCGAGGCTTCTCGTCCGCCCATACGTCAAAGGTGAAAACGTCTTGCTCTTCCTCCTGCTCCTCCGGTGCCCGGTATGGCTTGATGCGGCCTTCCCTAATCGCCTTGACGATTTTCATGACGCGCTTCGCCTCGTGCTTGGAGGGGATGAATCTTCGCTTGGGCTCTGGCGCAGCGCTCAGTGGCATAATCTCCGTGTTGACACCAGAGAAGTAAGCGACCATCTCTGGGTATGGGTCGTAACCATCTTCCACGATCTCGTTCCTTGTGAGCCTCTTGAGCACATCGAGCTCCTCGGGCGACAGGTTCAGCGGTTTTCCCGTCTGGGGATCCGTCAAGCCTGTCCAGCCCTTGGGTATGTCGATGCTGTCCAACAGCGCATCCAGCGCCTCTCCCTTTGCCGGGCGCATGATCTTCTTGCCGTTGATATCGTAGCCAATATGCGGGTATTCATCGTAGTACTTGAGGTCGATGTTGCCGATCGTGTTGGTAGCTTCGGCGTCAGAATCGTCAGATTCGTAGACTGGGTCGATCTCTTTGTAGATGTAGCGAGTGTTGCCGTGCGCGTCGGTGGTGACGGTGTAGTTGGGCTTCAGGTCTTCGTCATCGTCCAATTCCCCGGTTGCGCCACCATTTACGTCCAGATCCATCTCATGTGTAGGTACGCCATTCTTCTTGCGCAGTGGAACATCCGAGGTATTCAAGTTGCGCATTTCCTCACGAATCTGCTCTGCATCGCTATCTTCCTCCTCCTCTTCGTCTTCGTCAGAAAGACCCTCGATCACACTGCTAGCATCGGTATCGGCGCCTTCATCTTGGCTGTCGTCCGAGTCGTCCTCGGAATGCGACAGGATGCCCTCGAGCAGTCCGTCGGCCAATTCACCTTCCGAGTCACTGGGCTCGGGCGCCGGACGCGTCACTACCTTTCTCTTGCGCGGGTTGACTGACATTTTGGGCGTTTGATGTTTCCTCCTCACGTTCACCGCGGACTGTCGCAACTTCCCAAAAATTATCGCTAGCGTCCAAGATTTCGGTTTTAGCGCGTCGCACGTGCCAGGCTGCCATCAGCCAAGCATATCCTCGGAGACTCTACAGCAACTTTATCGCAAACTCCGCAACTCCAACTCTCTGTTTACCCCACGCAATTGCAACCACCACCCGCATCTGCTACGCCAAGACGCCACCCCAGACTGATTGCAGCAGTAATTCCACCGACTCACCATGGCGACGCGCCACTCTGACTACGATCGTAGGCGCCATTCCCCGCGCCGCGACCGCGACCGCGGAGATCGTGGAGACCGCTATGGCGAAGGCCGCTTCAGAGACGACCGTGACCGCCGAGACCGCCGCGATGACCGTCGAGAGCCTGACCGTCGAGACCGCGACCGCGGCGACACGTACCGGCGACGTTCGCGCTCCCCGCCTCGCCGCCGCGACCGATCCCGTGACCGAGGGGACCGTGCCGACCGTGGAGACAGCTACAGGCGCGACCGCGACGGTGATAGAGACAGGCGTCGTCGCTCTACTTCCCGTCGCCCTGGTTCCCGTTCATCTGCCACACCTGCGCCTGGCTCAGACAGCTGGAGGCGCGATGACGGCAGACGCGACGACAGCAGGCGCGACCGGCTAGATCACTCCTCGCGCGACGACAGGAAGAAAGACCCCGAGACACAAGCCAAGGAAAAGCTTGCAGACCGCGCTGCGAAGCTGGCTGAGTGGAAGAAGCTCAATGCCGAGCGCCTGCTCAAAGAGAAGACCGACACACCCGGCTCCGGTGCTTCGCCAGCTGCCACTGCACCTGCAACCCCGTCAGTCACTGCGACGCCCCCGCCAGCTCCGGCATCTGAGGCCAAGCTTGTTGAAACCGCTAAGACCAAAGTCATTCCGCAGAAGAGTGCTACTGAGAAAGTCAAGCAGAAGCAGCCCGAGAAGTCGACCTTCAGACTGGATGCTTCCGCCGCAGCCCGTCCTCTAGACATGGCCAAGCCTGCAGGCAAGACTGTCACCAACGCTAGTAGTATGTTCATCCCAAGCCCCCTTTTTACGAACCACAAGCTTACACGTACAGACGTTCCCATTGTTAAGGGCAATGGTAACATTGGCTCATTCGGTCTCAAGACCAAGACTGCTGCTGAGACCGAGGAAGAGAATTCCAGAAAGGCATTGCTCGACGAGGAAGGCCCGACCCGCAAGCGCAAGCTACAGGCTCTCCCCGAATTTGACGCCAACGAGGCACCCTCGCTCGAAGCCGACGGCGACGACGCGGACTCTCCAATGAGTGACATCGGCAGTGATGACGAGAACAACGCGGAGCTTCAAGCTCGCCTTGAGAAGCGTCGCGCTGAGATCGCCAACGAGAACCAAGAGGACACTGCCATGGAAGAGGCAACTGCTGTCGAAGCCCCTGCCGACGACAAGATGGAAGTTGACGAAAATGCAGGCGCCGAAGAAGATGACGTCGATCCTCTCGATGCCTTCATGGCCGATCTCACTGAGCCACAACCAAGCCGCGGAGCTCCTTCGGGTCAGACTATGTTCGCTGACGAGCTTGAGACTGTCGAGACTTCCGTCGAACATGAGGACCTTAACGAACTTCGCGCTGCCAAGAAAAAGAAGAAGAAGGAGGTGCCTACCGTCAACCACGATAAAGTTGAGTACGAACCGTTTAGGAAAGACTTCTACACTGAGCCCTCCGAAGTTGCACAGATGACACCTGAGGAGGTCGCAGATCTTCGCCACGAGCTCGACGGCATCAAAGTCAAGCCTGATGACGTTCCCCGTCCTGTCACCAAGTGGGCGCAGATGGGCCTGCTGCAAGCTACCATGGACGTCTTCACCAAGATCGGCTACGAGAGGCCTACAGGTATCCAGTCTCAAGGTGTACCCGCAATTCTCTCTGGCCGAGATCTCATCGGAGTCGCCAAGACCGGTTCTGGAAAGACACTTGCATTCGGTATCCCTATGATTCGGCATGTCCTTGATCAACGCCCACTGAAACCAACTGATGGGCCTATCGGACTGATTCTCGCCCCAACCCGAGAGCTAGCACTGCAGATTGTCAACGAGCTCAAGCCATTCCTTGCAGCATCGGGTGTTACCATCAAGTGTGCCTATGGTGGCCAGCCCATTTCTGAACAAATTGCTATGATCAAGCGTGGCGGCATCCACATCCTATGTGCAACTCCAGGCAGAATGATTGATCTGACCAACGTCAACCAAGGACGAGTGCTTTCTTTCCGCCGCATCACTTACGTTGTCCTTGATGAAGCTGATCGCATGTTCGATATGGGCTTCGAGCCTCAAGTCATGAAGATTCTTGCGAATGTACGCCCTGATCGCCAAACTGTCCTCTTCTCAGCAACTATGCCCAAGAACATGCAATCTTTGGCTCGCAAAGCACTGCACAACCCAGCCGAGATCACCATCGGTGGTAAGAGCAAGGTAGCTCCCGAGATTACTCAGATCATCTCTGTTGTACCAAACAGTTATGAGAAGAAGATCAACAAGACTCTGCTGTATCTTGGTCAGTTGTTCTCTGAGGATGAGAACGCCCAGGTATTGATCTTCACTGAGCGGCAAGAGACCGCCGAAGATCTCCTGTCCAAGCTCTACAAGTCTAAGTATTTCTCTGTCAACACGATTCACGGAGCTAAAGATCAGACTGATCGTAACGAAGCGATCAACGACTTCAAGCAAGGTGTTCTTTCGATTCTCATTGCCACATCTGTAGCCGCCCGTGGTCTTGATGTCCCTGGATTGGCTATGGTATTGAACTTTGATTCACCAACCCATTTAGAAGATTACGTACACCGCTGCGGACGTACCGGCCGTGCTGGCAACAAGGGTACAGCTGTGACACTTATCGAGAACCCCGGTCAAGAGCGCTTCGCTCTACACATCGTCAAGGCCCTCAAGGAGAGCGGTACAGAGGTGCCTCCAGAGCTTCAGGAGATGGCTAACACATTCCACGAGAAGGCCAAGGCAGGTACCGAGAAGTACTATGGCGGTTTCGGTGGCAAGGGTCTCGACAAGCTTGATGCAGCACGCGCTCTCGAGAAGAAGCGCGAGAAGCGTCAACTTAAGCTGGAAGGTGTTGATGAGAGTGAAGACGAGGAAGAGATCGCACCGCTCATCAAGAAGCCCGAGGTCGCTGGTCCAGCTGGTGTCGTCAACGCTTCTGGTCCTGCTGCAGCTGCCGAGGAAGATCAACCACACTGGATGAAGCTACTGAACAGCAAGATTGTGGTCAGCAAGACTGAGCGTCCTGACGCTGCCGCTTCCGGCAAGCCGATGACCGCCCGCGAGCGAGCTATGGCTGCTGCCTCCAAGGTCGACGGAAGGCTGAGCAAGAAGGGCATGATCCACGCGGGTCAGCCTATCGACAACAAGGGCCCCGATGCTGGTCTCTACCACTCAACCATCGAGATCAATGACTTCCCTCAGAAGGCTCGATGGGCCGTGACCAACCGCACCAACGTCGCCAAGATTCTGGAGCAGACTGGTGTTTCCATCACGACCAAGGGCAACTTCTACGCCGCTGGCAAGCAGCCTGGTGAGAATGATCTACCCAAGTTGTACATTCTCGTCGAAGGTGACACCGAGAACATTGTCACTCAGGCTATGATGGAGCTTACTCGTCTTCTGCGTGAGGGGACCATTGCGGCTGAGGATGCCTCTGCGACTCGTGGTCCTACCGGCCGTTACAGCGTGGTTTGAGAAGTTTTACTTCCGTAAGGTATGCTCGATTTTCTCTCTTTCATTTCAGCGTTGCTTTCTTTTCCATGGCGTCAGTTCACTGCATTGGGAGGAATGGTCAAATGGATGGATGGGAAGGGCATTGGACGGAGTTGAAGGTTTCGACAAAACACGATCGTGCTTCGATACATGCCTCTGGGCTGTACCAAAACGTAAGTTCTCACCCCACTACTCTTTTCAGAAGTTTCTTTGATTTACCCAACCGTCGCAGGTTTCTACTCGGTCACCGAGCCTCTGTCAGGCAACAACATCATTGTACATTACGGGCTCGGCCACACGGTTCGCCGACATGCGATATGCGGGAAGGGGAGTGGAGGCTTGACTCTGGTAGTTCTGGTAAAACATGTCTGGTACGAAGGAGTGGGGTCTTGATTCTGGTGCTTTCCCGTGCAGCCTGACACGGCACGAGAGTGTAGCTTAAGATAGCTTTTCAAATGAGAGGCAATCCCGCCTACTACATGAACTTCTTCGCGTGTTCCTAACCACTCATATCTCGTATTGTATACTCCAACTTGCCCGGCGGCACTGAGATCTCAAGAGACGTGATACTGCGTCAAGACCTCATAACAGGCCTCTTCGCCGATCCTGTATACTCCATCAATAAATCTCTCCTCAAGATCACCTTCTGCGCGACAATCAATACATGCAGACGCGAACCGACATTCATTCATTCATTCCTCAGACCCAGATGCGTGGTACAGAACAAACTACGCCGTATTGCCCTGAACACTGATGACGCAGCTCTACAGGACCCACGCCGCACCGCCCGACGCCATATCGCCGTCCAGGCTGCAGCTGCATCATCTGAGAAACCCTCCTCGGGGGTACATCCATCGGAATATGTATGTGTAGATGTAATGGCGCCATAGCTGCATGTCGCATATTGCATGCTGCGTCTCCTTCCTACATGCTCTACCATCCGACCGACATCCACCGAACTTCGCGCCGCAACACTGCATTTCTCCTTCGCGTGCATCTCCGCCTATTTTAGGCCGAATCCAGGACACCTGCAGGAGAAGAGAAGCCCGGACCTTGACGTACTCCAAGGAACATGTTTCTGCTCCTAGCGAGAGGCGAGTAAACCTGGGCTACTGATGATGCAGATGCAGGTGTAAGGCGCGTACATGCGTGCGTGCGTGCGTGCATTGCTCGCAGAAAAAAACGCACAGCACAGCCTTGCCGCCGCTCGGCCCCC